CTAGATAGCTGCCTTTGTATATTCGGGTTAAATCTGAGGGCCCAGCTAGAGAGGGAGGGACAAAATCGTCACTGACCATCATCCCCGACACAGGCTGCGGCCAGAAAGCGCGGTAGTGACCTGATGCAGTGCTGTCGCCCACATGAAACACTCCCGATGAGAGCCTGTACTGAATCAGGCTCCTGTTTTGGCCCTCTTGCCAAATCGGAATCAAGAAGGTCTCACGAAGACCTGTGATAGGGACCTGATTTTTGACTCCATCCTGCCACCTGCACAACACCACTGGCAGCAGTTGAGGCGCCTGGAGGAGCGCGTATTGAAAACCACGGTTCGACCAGCAATCTATGCAGGAGTCGACTTTTCCTGAACTGGAAGGAGCAGAGGTGTTTGACCTACCTCTGAGTCCTCCACCAATCCCTCCACGCGTGCCTGCCACGGGGTAGGTTGCAGGGGACCAGTGTCCGGGGCTATGGCCGAGAAAAACTCCGCCGCGTCATGTTGACGGCCGTCAAAGCGCCATCCCCTTGCCAAGGATCGGACAGCAAAGGAGGAGTACAAGCTGAGGGGCTAGGGCCTGCTGAAACTCGCATCTCCGCTAGGACTGACTCTATTCCATTGACCGGAATATCCTGACACCTCTGACCTAGGGCCATGAAGGTTGAATTGATGTAGCAGGAGTTAGCCTTATTTAAGAGAATGCGAAAATCCGAAGCTGGTTGCTCAGAGCTGGGTCGACGCGCCGATCCCTGAAAAGCCTGCCGAATCGAGACCTGCTGCGGCCCCGCACTTGCGTGGTCAGAGGCAGTGGCTGGCTGCCGCACATGCCACTCTAGTACGACTTGATGGGGCATTGCAAACAGTGCTTGCTCTTGTTGTACACCTGCATTCCGCAGAAAGGACACTTCAAGCCCTTGGGAGTGTGCGCAGCAAAGCTGCCGCAGGTTTTTGCTACTAGGTCCTGACGAGTTTCCCACAGCTGTGTGTGAACTTTTCTGACATGGGACTTTAATTTGGTGTAATCCGGAGTCCAAAAGCCGCACTGCAAGCACTGAGACCCAAGCGCCTTAGCGTCCTGGCCCGAGGCTATTTTGGAGAGCTGACGGCGAGGAGCCAAGGCCACAGCCCTCTTGAGATTCTCCAAAGGGGCAGATAGAGCCAACGGGTCCTTAGTGGCGTCCAGCTCTCCTCAGCTTTTAGGGACTTGGGCAGGCGCCTGACAAAAGATGAGGAAGTAATCCTGGCCACTGCTTGAACTGCGTCCCGCAGGCTCGACAGGTGGGGAGTCCGTTAACTGAGTGCTTTGCCCGATCAAACCACTCAGGAACATACCTCTCCACAACGTCCGGATGTTGTTTGGCCCGATGAAGCCGCAGCCCCTGCTCCGAGACAAAAGACCTGTCGCAGTGCTGGCATGCAACCACTGGTGTGCCCTCTGCCGCCTCAGTCTCAGGTAGATGCATAAACTGGCGTAGATTACTCAGCTGCTCCTGGGATTGCTGAATGGCCTCACCGGTGTTTGTTATGCTAGGCGAGAGGACCTGTTGTGCGTTTAGGTGGTAAAAGCGGTTGGATTGGAGTCTCTCGAGCTTGACGACAGGGTCCTCTATGGAGTACAGCTCATAGAGTTCGCCGGTTGTCATGTGGGTCTCGTGGGCCGGTTTGTTTAAAACGGATCTGATTTTGAAGGCGTACCAGGCCTTAAGAGATTTAGCGGACTCCAACGTCAGGCCCACCTCAGCCAGCCCGAACGCTAACGTGGGCCACACTACAGACTGCCAAACCCGAAGTCTGGACATTGTACTCGCCACCCTCCTATTGTACACAAATTTTCTCACCTGATGTAGTTTTTGTTTCGCCTCACTGATGCGAAAGGTAAGCGTTTGCATCTCGAAGGACCCGTAGCTTGCTTTGATGCCCAGAAACTTGATGGTCGGGACCCATCTGAAGGCAGGAAAATACTTGGTCTTCCCTATGCGCCAGAGTTTGATCCGCTCACCTGCCTCATTTCGCGTCCAGGCTGTATACTGCTTCGTAACTGACGCAGCCTGCCGCCGCGCGAACTTGGCTAGGATGTAGCATTTGCTCTGGTTACAAACTAGCTTATGGTCTTTGAGGCTTTCCAAAACGGCTCTTATAAGCGCATGACAGGCCTCTAAGTCCGCTATAGAGCGTATGGTTCTGTGCACGGTGAGGTCGTCCGCATAACCTGTCAGAAAGGCACAGACTCTATCCTCCCCAAAGAACTCTATAGGCTCCTTGATTAACTTGCCAGTTAGGAGGCTGAAGAGGCTCGGGGCCAGCTTGCAGCCCTGCTTGATGCCCGTTGTAGTCTCAACCTCAGTGACCTCGCGAACGTGAGGCCCCCAACGAGGTCAGGACGCAGTGCGCCTTCCCGGAGCTCTTGTCTACCCGGGGAGGCAGTGCCACAAAGCTGTCTCACCTCTCTAAGATGGCGTACCAGTCTCGCACGCGCATCCGACAAGGCCCTTCCAGGAAGATACGCGAACTGCGGGATCTCCCTCATGTAGCTTTGTAGCCCCGGAGACAGCTCCCTCGCCGCTCCGGCGACTCCCTTAGCATCTGGCCTTAGTATTCCAAGGGGCCGTAGGTTAGACGGCTTGTCTGCCGGCTTTCCTGGCTTGGGGATGAGACAGAGGTCCGCATCTAGCAGACCGGAAGGCAGCCGCTCTTCGCCTACGGTGGTCAAAAAGGCACTGAGAGAGGGACTAACTTCGTCTGCGCAAAGCTTCCAAGCTGCTGCCGGCGCTGAGCCCTTCGGAACCGCCTTATGCGGCTTGATGGACTTTATGTGCTTAGCCAGGAGCTGCGGATCTAGGTGCGGAAGAGGGCCCGTTCTGTCTGTACTCCGAATGTGGAAACTGCAAAGTCTCCGAGCACTGCCAGCTCCTCCGCTGGTCCCATCAACCTGCCGTCCCGATTTTTCAGCTGGGCTCTTTGCGGGGGCTGCCACGGCCTGAGTTGTTTGAGCGTGGAGTAGGCAACATGCGAGGACCCTTCTGCTATAGCCTCATCGACGCCTGCCAAAAACTTAGCGGCCCTTTCCTTCTGTCTCTGCCTCACCAGCTGCCTGTGTTGTTCTTGAGCAGCCTCTAACTCTGCCACCCTAGCTAGGTCAGGGTTAGGAGAGGCCTTAGCCTCTCGCGCAAGTTGCCACATGCGCCTTGAATCCAAGGGACGCTGACAATTTCGGCTCCTCTTCGGGAAAAAGAGCTCCGCTGCTTCTGTAAGAATTTGGTTGCACTGGTCTGGACGATGAACCGGCATGCGGTCACGAACCCAGTCCCGCATTTGTCTGGCCCGGTCCGAGTCTTCACGCACTGCAGACTGTAGCTGTTTGACGTCGCATGTCGACGTGTCCTTTCTCGACGGTAGCTGCCAATGACCTAAGGGCTTGACAGTTGCGAGGACCGGGGAGTGGCCTCCGACCTTCCAGCTGCCTAAGTGCCAGTCATGAAGCGGCGCAGCTCTTTTGGCTTGTCCTCCCGCCTGAGTCTCCTTGGTGAAAATAAAGTCAATTTGGGAGAGGGAGCCCTGCTGCGTGTACGTGTGCGGTACTGCTGCATGCCATGTGTTCAAGGCCACAAGCTTATGCGTCTCTACCAACTCTTGCAAGCCCTCGCTGTCTGGTCTTTGGGTTGCGCCGCAAGCACGCGGGCCTACTAACCGAGGATAGGGGGAAAGGGTTGCATTCAGGTCCCCAGCCACAACCAGCGACATGCGAGAAGGAACCTGCCGCACTGCCTTACTCAGGGCCGCTAGAAGGGAGCTACGGTCCTTTCGGTTCTGCTGTAGGCATTTAGCGCTACGAACGGACAACCCGCATGCACAAATCTTACCTCAAGCAACCTGCCTACCCTATGCTCGCGCCAGCGGACCTGTCCTGTGTCGATGCGAGGAGACAGAAGGACCACGACTCCGTCGGCCTTGGAAGGAGCCGCCGTGGCCTCACATGGCGTTACGGTCTCAGGAGCTTGTGACTGCTTTCGCCTGCCCCAGGTCTTGGCTTTTGGTTCTGGCGCTTGGGGCTTCCAGGAGGCTGATGAGATACAGGTCCACCCGCTAACTTGAAATTGCGCCGTAGAGGACCAGTGAGTTTCTTGGAGCAAGAGGACATCACACACTGACTGCGCCTCTGCCTGAAGCCAGTCCTTGATTTCCGACCATTGCTGTGCTCCCAGATGACCTGGATTCCAAGAAAGAACTCGGAGAGGCCGAAACTGCCTGCCTCCCCTCGATTCCGACCTGACACTTGGATGGGGGCTAGTGGCCGCCGTTGGCGGGCAGTGCCCCTGGCTAGCTATCTGTCTCAGTGTGAGGGGCCTTCCCCGGTAAACGGCACTACCTTCATCCCTTTGGGCTTGACGACAGGCCTTCCTATAAGAACGCTTGCGAATTTGAGAATAATTAGCGGAGTGAATCGGCAAGAGTGCCATGCGCTGTTTTGCGACCCAAGCTCAAAGCCTATAGGCCACTCCCTTCGCCGCGCGCTAGGCAAAAACCCTACCACTTACCCAGCAATCAATGTGTTAACATGTGCTTGGGCTCCAGGAATTGGGACCTGGCGGCTCTGCTCCGGTGCATGAGGGCTTTTCGCTACCACCTACACAGGAGCTGCTTGAGCCGTAGTGGCTAATCAAACGGAAAAGAAAATAGAAAATGAAATGGAGACTGTGATTATGTAGGGGTTTATGGGGATTAGGGTTTCCTACAGTTATGGGTACCATTTTGGGGGTCCCCATAATCAGGACTACAGTGCGCCTTGTTGGGGCTCCCCAACAAGGATGCTATTGTGTGCAGGTATACGGGCAGGCCCATCTCGTCGAAAAATGCACTCGAACCCGTACAATCCTCACAAATACTCCCAGTGTCCATTTAATTTGCAATGTTGTTGTCCATTTGATTTTTCTATTATTGGGGCATGCATCCCTTTTTCATCCCTATATACCCGTGGGTCCCCCTAAATCTTCACCTTCTGCCTGGTGTCTCGAGGTACACTTGTGTAAGTCCACTTGCAAAGTGATGCTCGAAAATGACTCTATGGTGAACCAGAACCCAGACCCCCTAAAGGATCCAAAAAATGGAACCCCTAAATAATCCCCTAGGTTCCCCAATGTAGTAATGGGTTCATATTGGGGGGGTTCCATTTTTTGGATCCTTTAGGGGGTCTGGGAAACCTTTACCATGAACCCGAAGACGGACGGCTCCTTGCCAGCTCTGGCCGTCCTGGCACGAGAAGGATTTTCTGGGAATGGGATCACTCATCGAAGACTGCGTCTGCATTCTATAGGCACCAAAAGGAATTTAAGGCTGGGGCATTCGGGCTTGAGATGTCGATGGGTCCCAGGGCAAAAAGGTGAAATGAGGAAAAAGATGAAAAAAAGAATGAACAGTTCTGACAATGATGAAGATGATAGGACCTTGCGAAAATGATGAAAGATGGTGAAATGATGAGAGTGTGTGGAAATATGAGGAAACAAAAGCAACCAATAAGACATTCTGACAAACGAGCTTTTCATGTCGCAAATGATGACCTGCAAAAAGTTATGAACAAATGATGGAACTGATGAGAGATGATGAACATGACAAAGTATGAGGAACATGGAAATGCCATGAAAGTTCTGCAGAAATCATTGAAAGTACTGAAACATGATGAAATGCTGGAACATGATGAAAGATGTCAAGCGTCCTTGCTTCCTTCTTCCCCTCCTCCTTTGCTCCGTCCTTCCTTGCTTCTTCTTTCCTTCCTCGCTTCCTGTCTGCCTAGGGTTCTCCTTAGTTGCGTGCTGTTGTTCTGGGGGCGGTCGAAGATTTTCCCTTTGACTCCTCACATTGGTAGAATATAGGGATTATACTATGGTTATAATGGAAAAGAAAATGGAAGCTACTATTTAGGGTTTAGGGTTTAGGGTTTAGTTCATGTTTTATTGATCCTTTTTGATCTTTTGTTGATCCTAATTTAATCTGTCAGCGATCCTGAAATGATGTTGAAGAATCACAGGCAACCAAGCTCCCCTTATCACAAACCTAAAGCCTCAACCCGCGAAGATGTAAAACCCAAAAAGATAATACCAACAACGCTAGCAATACTTACAATGCCCCACAAACTAAACCCCATAGTCCCCCTTAAGTAGATAGAATATGGGGTAAATTGGGATCTTATTATAATATACCCAAAGCCATAAATCTACTTAAGGGGGACTATAACCCCCAACCCTAAACCCTAAATAGTAGTTTCCATTTTCCTTTCCATTATCCCTATATAACCCCAACATAACCCCTATATAACCCAATAAGGGTTATATAGTAAACCCTAAACCCAGGCGCACACGATGGTGTTGTGGGCTCCGCTGACTGCCGGCCCATGGTCAGCTGTGACCTTGGGTTTCTCCCGTGGGTTGTGGGTTTAGGGTTCGGGGTTTAGGGTTTAGGGATTAGGGTTTAGGGTTTAGGGCTTAGGGCTTAGGGTTTAGGGCTTAGGGTTTAGGGCTTAGGGTTTAGGGTTTAGGGCTAAGGGTTGAGGGTTC